GACCTCCTCATCCCCAGCCTCCAAAAGGACTCGGATGTGGAGACCCAGCCTTTCCTCTTTCAAGGAAGGCCCCAGTCTTTCCTTCCCTACAGCTGCTGCACCTGCAATTTAAACCCGCCTTTGTTGAAGCGCTCCCCCCACTCCCACCCCAGTCTTGCTCAAGCCAAAAATCAGAGTTGCCTCTGAGGTCGGTCTTTCTCTCACCCTGCACATTCAGTTTGTCAGAAAATCGGGTTTCCTTTTTGGCTAGGTGCAGACTTTTACCTGCACAATCTTGGTCTTTCTTGATCTCTGAATTTTGAGTCTCCTGAAAAGGACATGATCGCTTTTACTAATACGCCTCAGTTCACTCAGAGATTTTTTTTTTTTTTTTTTGAATTGGAGTCTCACTCAGTTGCCCAGACTGGAGTGCAGTGGCCGCTCCCGGCCACCGCAGCCTCGCCTGCTGGGCTCCGGCGATCCTTCCGCCTCAGCCTTCTGAGTAGGCGGAATTACAGGCATGCGCTGCCACGCCCGGCTGATTTTTTGATTTTTATTGTAGAGATGAGGTCTCGCTGCCCAGGCAGGTCTTGAATCCGCGGGCTCAGGCAATCCACTCAGAGATTTAAGAGACTTAATCTCAGGGTAGGGGTTTGGGCCACCCTTGAGAATTTTATTTGGTTCTCCTCATCAAAAGCAGCCTGTCTGGGCCTGTCTTCAAGGGCCAGGTCCCCTCTCCTCGGCTCCTTCCACCCGGTCAGTCACCCCACAGTCTTCCCTGTGACCTGCAGAGAAATTTCAGGGAATTTTTATACAATTGCCAGGAGCCCGCAAGGCACAGGTACATCGTGACTTGGTGGTTCCCAGTACTCCTGCTGCCTTTGTGGGCAGAAAGTAACGTCGCGGTCAGATTGGGCTCATAAGACAGGGAGATTGACACAAGACAGATTGGGCCCATAAGGCAGGGAAGGACCAGTACAGGAAGGACAGCCACCCCCTTAGGTCCTGTACAGTAGGGATCTGAAAAAAGACTTGAAGAAACAGTAAGGGAGAGTTGAAAATAAATTAAAGGGAAAGAAATAAATCCTATGATTTCTGATGTAAAGACACCATGAGGATGAAGTTGCCTCCTCTAGAGCCTGGTCCTCGCGTGGCCGGTGAACAGAGTTCCAGTCTCCAGTTGGAGCCAAAGCATGGAAACTTCGCGGAGCTACCAGTTGGTGAGCAATTTTTCCTCCTCTGGGGTTGGGTAGGGCTGGGTAGCACTTGAATGTGTAGTTTTAGCACTTGGTTGTCTCTCCCCAGGCTTTCTATGGATTCCAGGGAGGTAACTGATAATTCTATTTTTAATGCACTTACTTGAAGTAAGAGCATTTAAAAATCTTTTAGCAAAGAAAATGATGTCTGAAAGTTTTGCTCTGAACACTTTCAGGTGTGAGGAAAACATGAAAACCACTACTAGGGAAAGCAAACACTGCAGAGAATATTTTAAACACACGATTTACACTTTGACCAGGTAGGTTTGGATGCTTAGGTTGGGCATATACTACTTTAAGTGCACTATTGGTGGGACTGAAGATGAGTCTAGGACATCCACAATGAATAGTTTCATTTTAATATTTTTAATTTATATTTAAATTATATGTTCTCAAATTATATGACATGCACAGGAAGCCAACTTTATGCCATTTTTACAAAAACAGGAAGGATGATATAGAAATGACAGCATCTATAAAGTTCTGAGGAAAAAATTTAACCTTGAATTCTACGTCAAACACAAAGTTTCAAAAATATGAATGAAATAAGGAAATTTAAAGAAATACACAAGCTGAAAGAATTCACTGACCTACACTACAAAAAACGTCAAGAAGTCCTCCAGGCAGAAGGAACAGAATGCCAGAGGGAACCCTGAACCTACACAAAGAAATAAAGAACACTGGAGATGGCCTCTACCTGCTTAAATATATTAGTTATTTTCTTACTATTTAAATATTTAAAAAACATTTCATGAACAAAACAAGAGCATTAACAACATGGCAACACTAGCAAAAAGACCAGAAAGAGAGGTATAATGACACTTGAACGTAGTGTGTGAAAAGTTACAGGTGCACCCTATAAAACCTAAAGCAATCACTGAGATAACAAAAGTAAGAGTTATAGCTAAAAAGCCAACAAAGGACAGAAAATGAAATGATATAAAAGTCATGTAAACACTATGATAGAACAATTGCTCTCCAGGACTCTACCTCATAGAAATACAAGCATGACCAAGGATATATGTACAAGAATGAAGACTACAGCATTATTTGTGAGCATAAAATCATACAGCCAACATAATTTCAAAGGCACATGAAAAGAGTTGTTTTTTAATTTAAATAAATACAGACAATTGTACCAACAACCCTTCTGCTTCCATTCCAGGAATGAGTGGGTAATGATGATTCCCTTGACGTTTCTGCTGTTTCTTGTTCTTTCTCCTCTCTCCGTTCCTCTTCTCTCTTCCCCATTCTGCTACAATAAAAACAATCCCCACCTCCCCAAGACCCGGCCTGGGCCTCAGCACAAGCCTTTTCAGAGGTCTGGGTGTCTACTCCACCACTCCCCGGCTGCTTTCCCTCCCCTCTGCGTTTCCCTTCATTGACACACTCCGACCTCATCCACCCCCCCAGCTCCCACCGCGCAGCAGCCCAGTTGAGCCCCCCAGACCATGTAGAAGTTGCGCTGCGGGACTTCCCGGTTGCCCGTCCACCGGGGTGCTGAGAAATCCCCCGGAGGAAAGGCTTTTTTAAAAGAACACTGAAGCCGGGCTCGGTGGCTCGGCCTGTAATCCCGCGCCTTTGGGAGGCTGAGGTGAGTGGCTTGCCTAAGCCCGCGGGTTCGAGACCCGCCTGGGCAGCGAGACCTCATCTGTACAATAAATCAAAAAAAAAAAAAATTAGCCAGGCGTGGTAACGTGTTGGGAGCCGAGACCTTGAAGAAACAAACTATGGAGCATCTGATTACAAGAAGTATGCTGGTTGAGAGAAAAGCTCCGGCACACAGTGACCATGTTGAAGGCAAAAGGCCCCATGGATCCTGTTTAATAAATTTTTTGTCTTCCTGCCTGTGCATGCTCACAATTATTATATAGTTTGTTGACTAGTAACGAGATCTTTATTTTATATTATAAGAATGTATACAAAATGTTATGATTTTGATTGGAAAGACTTAAACAGTAATAGTTACTTATAGAAAACCTTTTAAGTTTCGTTTAAGCTTTTAAGTTTTCTTTTCCTAAAAGTTATCTTTACGTTTCTGAAGGCTAATCTTGAGATTCTTTAACAATACATTAAAACTTTCTGTTTGACTATATACTGAAACTTTCTGTACCGAAACTCTTTTTGTTGTTTTTGCCTCCAACCAAGCTGATTGCTAAGGAACAAGCTATGCCGATACTCCCCTGTTACGGTTTCTGCCCCCAGCCAGGCTGTTCAATAAGTTACTATGGCAATGGGATTTCTTACAAACGATTATGCACTTACAAGGAAATAGATTTCAAAAATAAATAGATTTGTAATTTTGTTAAGTTTGAAGATAGGATAAAAATAAGTTTATAGTTTTATAACAATAAGAATCACACAAATAAGTTTATAGTTTTATAACAATAAGAATCAAACATTAATGATAGTTATACATCTATGATAGTTTAGATTAAAGAAAAATTAATAAGTATAAGTTTTTAAGACATAGCATAGTGTTAAAGTTTAATCATTAAACAAAATAAAATTGTTAAATCTAGATGTGGTTAAAAGACTCATATGAATCATTGTAAGGTTTTATAGCTTAAAAGTCATTAGTTTGGGGTTAAGTGTTAAAGAATTACATAGCATGATATTTTGCTAAATCATAGAAGGTTAGTGGAAAATTCAAGATTTTATATTAGGCAGAAATAAAAATAAACTTATAGAGTATATTAAAATCATGGAAAGCAGTTTGTGAAACGATTGTAAAAGCTCTGCATTTATCATCTTGACGTAAGCCCGATACGCCCCATGGATGCGTGATTGTTGGGGCAAACAAATCTCATGATGTATGTTTCTGCAAAAAACGTTACGCCCTGTGGGACGTGTAAGCCCCTGGCGAATGCTTGTCACATTGCTAGGGGTGATAGAAAAGGGTATATACGGTGGAAGAAGTCTGAATAAAATTTGGAACGGTCTGGGCCAGACCTGACCCAGAAGAACTGCCTCCGAGTCGTTTCTTCGCGCCGTCCTGATCCCCCCATTCAGGCCCAACCCCCCTCAAGTCGGAGCCGTTTCCGACAGGGACGTGCTCCCGTAATTCCGGCCCCTGGGAAGGCTGAGGCGACAGGATCGCCGAGCCGGCAGGTCGAGGCTGCGGTGGCCGGGAACGGCCTGCACTCCAGTCTGGGCGCCGGAGCGAGACTCCCACTCAAAAGACAGGAACACTGAAAAAACGTTCATGACTGCCGCTCCCCGGGCTCTTGAAGCTAAAGAGGACGAGGACGCAGTTCAGCCCTCGTCGGGCGCGCGGTGAGGGCCAGGCCCCGTTCTCCGCGAGGGGCCCGACCGCGCCGTCGCCAGGATTCCCGCGCGGGTGGCGCCAAGGGCCTGGCGCGGACCCGG